TGCTGATGTTTCCAAAAAAGATAATCCTTCTAATTGTGCAAGGCTTTGCCCATCTTCAACATTGACTTCTCTTGCAGAATTGGCCAAATCAGATTTGTTTCCAACAAGAACAATTACCATGTCTGAGCTGCCATATTCCCTAAGCTCGTATAGCCATTTTCTTAAATTTTCAAATGTTGCTCTTCTTGTTATATCGTAGACAAGCAAGGCACCAAGTGCTCCACGATAATATGAACTTGTTATGGCTCGAAACCTGTAAGAAAAAACAATATTTATGTTAGAAATTAATACTCCATCTATTTTAAATAGAATGACGTTGTTTTCTTATTAGTTCATTCCTAAAAGAATATAATGACATCTTTCTAAATTTGAAAATAATTTAATTTGAACTTCTTATTTTACCTTTTATGACAAGTTTCTACAGTCAAACAAATGTAATGGTGGCAAAATGGATTAAAAAAATAGTTATCCACCCATATTAACCATTGAAAAATGAGTTGGATAACGTAACAAACTTTTTAAAAATTGGTCAAATATGGATAAAATCCATATTATCCACTTAAAAATAGATAATCACTGGATAACCAATGGATTTAATTTTTATATTTGCAAAGGATCAAATTCGGGACTCCTGAAGTTTGGAAGACTAGGGATTCTCCTAAAAGTGATCGTATTCAAGAATCTATTCGTATTATCCGTCGTTTATCACATTTTCTATCCATATTAAATATGGGTTGGTTGGATATTTTATCCATTTTTGCAGTATTCGTCTTCGACTCGCTCATATCCAACCCGACCTGCCCGTTTACCACCCATATACAAATAATATGACATATTTAAAATCACAAGTTTCAAAAGTCTTCTAGCCAAATAAATGTTATGAATATTTAAGACAACAACTTTCAATAATCTCTATTTTTATCTTAAACTTTGTGCCTAGTTAAATTACACCGTATAAATTGAAACCCTGGAGTTAGCAACTTTTTAACAGCCTGGATCATTTACGTACTTACATATAGAACTTACGGAATTTATCGCAATTTATTTTGCATCTTTAGCCTTGATCATTTAGCAACTTTCTTTTTATTTATTTTTAATAAACGCAATTTATCGAGTATATTTATGAATCTAAAATGACTAAAAGCCGCTAAAAGAAAATAAAATTAAAATCTATCTACAAGTTTTGATTCGAGCAGTATTGGATATTTTTGGGGGGAAACGTTTACACTTTTAAACATTAATGATACTTTGAGATCATATTAAATATTTTGTACTTCTAATATGCTAACAGTTCTTTTAATAATTGACTGCATAACACATCGTATTGCATTATCATCTGCCTTTTCTGATATTTGCTGCTTGCTACTTAATAATGGAGATATATTGAAACAATTATTCAAACACAAAAATTGACCTAACGGATAATGTACAGCAATATCTTTTTTCCCATCAAAAGAAAAAAGAAATCGCATGCGAGTCAATTTCATTAATTAAATTTCAATATACATTTTAGTCAAATTTATCGATCATGTCAAAAGTGGTGAGCTGGTATACTTTATAGACTTTAGAGGCATGAATAAGGCTAATAGATTAATTGAGACGGTTTGGACCGATGTTGAGGGAATATCCTTCATTAGCAATTAGCCCTGATATCATCAAATTGGGAACTCTCTTGCAAATATCACTGCTCTCTCAATTTAATTTCCTTTGCAGGTCTTGTTTGGTTTTAGAATAATACCAATATTTGCATCCATAAATGTTTGGTAATGCTATAAAAAGGTCTTCAGAGATATTCTTGTAATAACCTAATTATATTCGTTGGACTTGAGATTATAGCAAATTAAGAAGCCACGTTACTAAATACTGGCCAAAAAATAGAGATAAAATTTCTGAAGGGAGGATCCTAACATTTAAGTAAAACTTGTATTATTCAATATCTTCAATCCTAATAGAAACACACATAAATTAAAGGGTCTAACAAATTGTGAACTTAAGACTCGCGAAGATAACACTTGGAGACTAATTCTTGTTCATTTTTTCTTTGTTTTTAGGATCCAGAAATAGGAATATGAATTAAAAACAAGTCCAAAAGAGAGTGAAGGATTAATAAAAACCTTTCTTGTCCGGCGGTGTCCCATATTTGTGCTTTGATGAGCTTATCGCCAACTCTAATATTTCTGTAAGCAAATTCCACTCCAATGGTAGGTTTAGAATCCAGCTGAAATTGATCCTTAGCAAATCTTGACAAAAGGTTTGATTTCCCAACTGCTGAATCTCCTATAAGAACTGCTTTGAATAGATAATCACACTCTTCATCAAATGAATCCCCCATAATACTCGTAAGAATTTATTACTTTTTAGGAACACTAAAAATATGTATAAGACACCAAAGACCAACAAGAAAGAAAGAGGAAATAAGAGGAGAAGAAGAAGGCAGGTATGAGCTCAAGTCATAATCACACAGACATAAATGTGAAACCAAAGCGATGAGGACTCCTTTGGAAATGGCTAGGAAAAAAGAAAATGAGTGTAAAGCATGTGATACCCTTTTAGAAAATGACATTATGGAGTTTCTTTAATTATGGTCTTTCTAAGCCTATCCGGTAGTTTTCACTAATACAATTATTATTATTATCGCAAACAAAGATGGAAATTAAAGCCCCAATATAATATATTAAAGAGTTTAATTTTTATACACCGATAATATTTTTTTTAAAAATTCAATATCTAATCACCCAAAAGATAGTGAAGGATAATCGTTCCTAAAAAGTGAATTAATAATATAAAGAACATGACATCTTATCTGCTACGGCAGATTAAAATATAATGTTAGTGTATAAACTTTTTACATTATTAAGTTAAATCCTTACAATTATTAGGTGACATCCACTTAGTTTGTATTGCTAACCATATTGCTAGAGGCTTTAGTAGTGATCAACCAAATTGATCCACATGTGCCCCTAATTATCTCCTTATTTTTTATTTTGTTAATAATTGCTCGATTTCATGCTTCATGATTGGGGTTTCCTCACTTTCTTCCTCACCCAACTGTCAAATTAGCAATGGGCCAGGTGGGGGTGGAGTGGGGCTAAAAGGTGCATAGGCAATCCTCCTATAGTTAGAGGCATCTTAAGAATAAAGTAATAAAATGAATAATCATTCCTAGTTCTTTTTTTAGGAGAAAACGAAGGATTCTTAATTAAAAGGATTTGACCTAACTGTTGGTAATGAATTCAACACCCGACATTCAAAATCAAGATATCAATGTGTTTGGTATCAAATCAAGTCATTAGAGGAAAGGATTATTATCTAAGGAACAAAAGAGAAAAGTAAGACGAAAGATTTATATGCTACAACTAGAATCCTCTAACCTCGCAATGATTTTAAATCAATTTGCATTTAACTAGAAAATAAGTTTCTTTTTCTGTTCGTCTTGCTCATATGGTTTGTTTTCTCTTCAGTAACATGTTATGCATTTGAACGAAAGTCCAAACTTCGAAGTGGACAAAATGAGTAGTCACTGTATTCATGTGACCAACATTATCATTTTCTACTCTTTGTTTTTACCCCCAAAATTTACCTATTTCTGGCATTTCAGCATTGATTGGGTAAACGCTAGCACTGAAAAGGAAAACAATTATTGAAATGTAAGTCAGGCTCCCGCACAAGTAGAGCAGACCTAAAAGCTACATATAGAAATACTAATATAGTACTCCTACGTATAATTTAAGCAGCCCCCCCCCAAAACCCCCCAAAAAAGAAGAAGTACACATATGCCATATTTTGGTGCGAAGAGAACAAGCTATGTTGGACCAGCCGCCTAAAGCACAGCAACCTGTTTCTTGGAGTTGATTGAACCTAGACTGCTTTGTTGCAAGTGCTGTTATCTCAAAAGTAAAGAAAAAGAATTTCTCACCTATATATAAAAAGAACAACAAAAAAAACATCTATATCGAGATTAAAGAGAATTCGATGGCTAAGAAATAAGTCAATATTAGAATCAAGAATCCAAGTGATGGTTTGCATTATTCAAGTTTTACGTTCACTTACTTAGGGCACAAATTTTACCAATAACATCAAGAAAAATTATATGTATAACTAACTTATACACTGTATTTATTATATGTATCTATACTTTAAAATAATTATAATTCGTAGCTACTCTTTGGATTTTTTAGCAAATTCCAACGTAAACAGTGTATGGAATCACATATAGTGATACATATAATGTATGTATCATTGTATTTCAGTGTATGTATGCGTCAATACAGCCATTTAGAACAAATGAATACAAGTGACGCAAACGAGTAACAATCGAACAGTAGTTATAAATGGTAATTAGACAAACTATAATTATGTATCGTAATTAGGCCTTAAAATTTAGTGCTTTATGAAAGTTCTTCCATCATCAACTACCAAATTTGATATGGAAATTGTATTCCTAGCTAGGTTACCCAAAATGAAAATAAGAGTTAATACATGTCACCGATATTGATAGGGATTCCATTCGGACTCCAAAAGCCCATTAAAGATGTAAACTAAATCCAGTCGAGTCGCCCAGACTTGAAAAGTACATTAATTTTTGGAAGTAACTCTACTGTACATGCCAGATGCCCCCCTCCAAGTAATGTAATAATAATATAGATGTCCAAAGGAAGAAAACAGTTTCCAGTCGTTGCGTTAAATTAGTCTAGGTCCGGTACTCCAACACTATGGGATCATTTGGTACGAAATTAGTGGCGGATCCAGGATTTTGTGCAAGCGGGTTCAATCTTAGAAGTACATAACTTTAGTCGTAAAATAGTAGTTGTCAAGAGGGTTCAAATAAAATATTTATACAAAATTTACGTTGCTTTAATCGTAATTTATACATGTATACGGTATTATTTTTTGGTGAAGCGGGTTCAGTTGAACCCGCTTGCCACCACGTGCGTCCGCCACTGTGCGAAATAAGTTATCCTGGATTATAATGATGAGATTATAATGCAAAAATTAATTAATGATTGGATTAGAAGGGCAACCCGGTGTACGAAGTATTTCGCGTTCACGCAGGGTCAAGAGAAGGACGGCACCCCAGAGGGTGTGATATAGGTAGCCTACCCTAATGCAAGTATCAGTGACTGATTTCACAGGTTGAACTCGTGAATGCAGTATAATATACAAGATATAATATAAACATGTATTTGGTATATACTAGATAAGTTGGGATAAGTAACCCACCCTCACCGTGGGATAAAATAATACCAATTAGGGGAATTAATTAATTTCGGGATTGGTAATACTAAATTCAAAATTTAACTAAACACGAGATAAAATATTGTCGCATCTAATCTTACAATTATTATCTCTTATTCCACGTACCAAACGACCTCTATAAGTTATAAATAGTTTGATGTAAGGCCCCGTAAATTTCCGGCAAGTAATTTTAAGATTCTGTGGTGCCTAGGTAGGCTAATGTATTATATTTTCGGACTTTTTGGGTTGCACAGTGCGTTTGGGAGTTAAATCATTTCGACCTCGCGTCGCCCAGCTCCTAGCGCGCCAGACCGTGCTATATCCCTCGCGAAGCCTGGTCTGTAGCGCGCTAGACCGTGCTATATCCCTCGCGAAGCCTGGTCTGTAAATTGCTAGACCGTGCTATATCCCTCGTGAAGCCTGGTCTGTAGCGCGCTAGACCATGCTATATCCCTCGTGAAGCCTGGTCTGTAGCTCGCTGCAGAGCTCGCCTAGCCCGGTGTGTAGCTCGATCCAGATTTCGGAGGGTCCATTCTTCTTTTTTTATAACCCGACCCTATCTCGATAAATAGACGTAAAGGGCCATTTTTGAAGGGAATATGTGATATTTTTTATAGAGATGAAGTACCCTAGAATGAGAGGAGAAATCCCTAAGCTAATTGTTCATCCAAAATCTTGCTCAAGCCTTGAAATTCAACAAGAAAGCTCACAAGGTCTTCAACCAAGAGATAGGATTCTATCCCTAACCTTTAATTTCAAAATTTTATTTGGATTTAGGTAATGTGGAGGAAGGTTTTGATAATGAGGGTTGTTGTTTATGCATGCATGTACTAATATAGGTGGTAGGGAGGTTGTGGAGTAATTGTGGGTGGCTTATTGAAGTAGGGATTGATTGTGGGGTAAATGAATCCACCATAGGAGGACCTTGAGACCTTAATGCACACCTAGTGCTTGATTAAATACTCAAATGAGCTGAACCCCCGAGAATCTTCCTAATTATAGTTAAATTTTGTCATGTCTTTAATTAAATTGAAGTCGCTAGGAGTTTCGGAACGCTGTAGTAAAATAAAGAAAGCTCAAGCAAGGTATGTTGGCTAAACCCCTCTTTTAGAATTGAACCCCATAATATCTTTGTAAGTCCCGAGTTGCTCATTATAAATTGATTATTCTGAATAAGCCTTGTGTCAAAAGATATATGTGTTCAATACGTATTCCAAATGTTCTTGTTATGTTGTGTTACTATTTGAGAATGTGTTCAAGGTATGGAATGCATATCTAAATATTATAACTTCAAGTCGTGATTCTAATGAAAGCTATTATGCCAAATTGTGTAAGAAATCTCAATGTGCTTAAGACTCTTACTTGCTCACATGTGTACTTAAAGTCTTGAATATAAATGCTTTGTTGTCGATGATCTGTGATGTTGTTTGAAAGTGAAAGTGGTGAGCATGCTATATGAAATACGGCCAACGTGCCAAGAATATTACATTTGGGGCCATTAGTGCCAATGAAACAAAGATGAGTGTAAAAGATATTGAAATGAGTGGTAAATCCTTTTAATAATAAACACTTCGGGAGTATCGTTAGTCACTGAGGAAGGGTATATTGAAATAGCCTAAACCTGAAACAACACATGCCGGTGTAGGAGTGAATTGTAATTATTCCCCTCATTTGGGATGAGATTATTGTGATGAGAATTTTCATCTTTATTGGGATGAGATGATTGCTAGAAAAAGGTGATGTCGATTCACATGGCATTGTGGTGAGACGGCCTATCCGGTTGGGTCATGATTGGACGTCATGCCGCACACATAGTGGTGATTGTGTTTGAAATATTGATCGAGATAATGATTGAAGTTTGTGATAGTAATTGTGATTGTGGTTGATGTATTCGGATGAGACAACCTAGCCGATCGGACCGTGATCAGACTCTGTGCAATATACACGGTGGTATATCTATATCGGTGCTAAGATCTTCCAACCTAAAATAATGAAAATCTAATTGAAAACTTATCTTGCTCCTAAATTGATGTTTAGTATTGTTTGATGCTTCCATTGATTCTGTGATTGTTCTTTCTTGTATTGCAACCTATTCTAATGATAGGGTGTTTAGTCATACATACTAGTACTATTTCTTATGTACTAACGTCTTTTTTGCCGGGGACACTGCATCTTTAATGGATGCAGGTGGTTCCGCAGCAGGTGACATTGATCATTGATAGCAGCACACTCTCTTCCCAACAGATTTGGTGAGCCCCACTTCATTTCGGGGTCCTACATATCTTACCCTTTGTACATAGCA